AGAAAGTGTATTTCAAGCTTTACCCCAAGGGGGTGTTTATAACTTCTAAAAAAACCCTAAAGGTAACATGAAAATTAAAAGATAAATAAATCTAAAAGATAATTTCAAATATTTTCATATTCAAACTTTAAATTTTAAAACTCCTCCTCCTAAGATAACTTTGCTTGTCCAACTTCCAAAAGGTGTTGATTATATCTTCTAGAAACTGATGTTGACTGAACCTTGTAGAAACTACCACATCATACCGCGTCATGCTCATTTTCGTACCCATATCTCCAAACATGATCAAAAAATTAAAAAAATGCATAATATGCCCTTTTTACTGCTAATTCGAGAAAATAGGCTCCTACAAAAAAATAAGCACAATACAACCAAATCAACAGTAATAAATCCATAACATGGAAGAATTAACAAGTAAATATCATCAATTTAGAACACTCATCACTCATTCTTGATCAAGAGTTTTTATAGCGGCCTTAAGTGCAAGTGTCAAGTGTAGGGTTTGTTGGAATCGCTGGTACACTCCAAGGAACAACAAAAAATAATTTAGCGATCTCCTCTAGAGATCCAAGAACGAGAAAGGATTTGGTGAGAAATTTTTTGAAATATTACCTTAATTCATCCAGAAACATTTAATCTAAAATTATATAGTTGTGTTGTGAATCTGATTTCCACGCTTTGTCGATTCCAAGTCACCACGATAGCGTCACAACCTTTGCGCAGTCCAGCTAGTTGGAACAAACAATTTTGATTCTCTAATTGTTAGAGAACTTTAGCACACAAGGCATAATTTGGTTGCTAGATTTTATGCCTTAATATAGCCTTCAAAAATATAATTCAACTCAAACTAGATTTTATCATATATATTATCTTAAACTGATTATTATATTTAAAAAATGATAATTACAATAATTATCTTTCTTTTAAATATAAAAAATCTATCTCAACTCATATTAGATTATATATATATATATATTATTAAAGTTTGATAATTATAATAATTATCACTCTTTTAAATATATAAACTTATTCCAAAGTAGATAATGTTTTATCATATAAATATATATATAAATAGAGATTGATATTTACAATAATTATCTTTTTTTAAATATATAAACATATTTTAACTCAAATAAGGTTTTATAATATAAATATATATTTTAATATAATTTGATAATTACAATAATTATATTTTTTAAATATATAAATCTATTTCAACTAAGATTAGGTTCTATATGATATATATATATATATATAAAGACTGATAATTACAATAATTACCTCCTTTTAAATGTATATAATTATTCATATTTACAATAATTATAATAATTTCATTTTAGCTAAAATATTATATGCATCAAATACATATATTATTTTTAACTAAATATCTTATTTGTGCGCAACTAGTTTGTACTCATGTAATTCAGTTTATAATTATTCATTTCAACAACAGGGTGTGACCCTTGTAGGTTCATGTAATGTTAACAATAATATCTAGAACGATTCTAATATTATAAAAAATGACCAGCGTCTAGCAATAGATCATTGCTACCTAAGTTACAAGAAGTCATGGTTCGACAACACCTCTATGTGGTTAAGTTTTATTTACCAAATCATTTTTCCCTTTATATCTACATTAAACACAAGTCATGGATCAGTCAAACTTGTATAGTTCATCTAATATTTCTTGGCATCTTGAGTAGTCCGATCAGACAATTAACTATGACTCATATCAATTTATTCGAGCATGGTCATGTATTTTATAATCTCACACAATCAAGTGGCCTAAGATATTAGTCCCATTATTTATGAGGGACAAATCATATATTGATCAACCATATCCAACTAGATAGATTGTGACATGTCCAACATTAGTCTTTATAGTGTACCTAGTTATGGCACACGTGTGACTACATCAAAACATGTGACTCGCAATATTTGAATAATGATGATCTCAAGTCCAATGATCATACATGTAGTTATCACCTTGAGTAATATTGTGATTGGTAACATAATGATCAAAGAAACATACTCCTAGCGGATCAGTCTGATATGTTGTTCTCTAACACATACCTATGTTTTGTTTTTGACACCTCCATATCAATGACAACATATTGCAACAATGAACTACACATCAGTCTTAATGTATTATTGTTGTCTACCAAAATAATATTTGACTAAGGAATTTTTAAGAATAACCATATTATTCTCAAGATTTTATTATTGTTAAGTTTATTTATATACATAGAAAAACAACTAAAATAATAATGGCAATGTCTTATATTAATAAAAAAATGTAAGATAAATATATCATTACAATATTCTCATGATTGGTCTTTAGGCATACTCTAACAATCTTCCACTAGCACTAAGACCAATCACTCATGTATCTAATATCAAGTGACTTAGTATGGCACTCATGCTTCTGCTGGTGTCAGAGGCTTGGTCAGTGGATCGAAAATGTTATCATTTGTGTGTACTCTATATATTTCCATATCTCTTTGATCAAAAATTACTCGAATAAAATAGAAATGCTTAAGAATGTGTTTGGATAATTAGTGAGATTTAGGTTCCTTTGCTTATGCAATGGCTCCTTTGTTTTCGAAACAAAGTTTTATAGCATCTAATATGCTAGGTATAACCCTTAGTTCATTTTTTAATTTCTTCATCCAAATGACCTCTTTTACTACTTTACTACTATTATACATTCATTCTCTATCATATAATTAAATATTATATTTTGCTTTGAACTTTTCTAGCATACAACACCTTTATTAAGGCAATATACAAAATCTGATTGTGATTGTGAATCATTCTTATTAGTTTGAAAGGTAGCATACGTGTAACCATTTACACTAAGCACTTCTTCACCTCCATATATTAAAAATGTGTCCTTGTGATTGTGAATCATTCTTATTAGTTTGAAAGGTAGCATACGTGTAACCATTTACACTAAGCACTTCTTCACCTCCATATATTAAAAATGTGTCCTTTGTCCTTCTCAAGTACCTAAGGATATTTTTAACTACAACACAATGACCTTCACTAGGATTTAGTCGATATCGACTTGTCATGCTTAAAGCATATAATACATGTGTATGTATATATAACATGGAATTCATGGTAGATTCAATGGTTGATGCATATGGAATCTTATTCATGTGTTTTCTGTTTTGTGTAGTTGATGGAAACATTTCTTTCGAGAGGGAGACACCATGTCTCATAGTTAGAAATCTATTTTAGATTCTTCCATGCGGAAAATTTTCAACAATTTGTCTATGTATGTACTTTGGCTTAGGCCTAGGAGTAGTCTAGGTTTGTCTTTATAGATTTTGACTCATAACCCTTACCCAAATGTTTTATAAAACAACTTCCTAATCAAGTCTTAATTGACAATAAGGTAAGTACATAATTTGTTATGATAAGTATGTCATATACATATAGTATCATCAATGAAATAATGATCCCACTAAATTTCTTATAAACAAAAGGATATATCCATGTATGTTTTCTTTTGAAAAATCATTTGCACCATATGGGCTTAACCCCTTCAGGTGGGTCACATGGAATCTATCTCGGATCTTATGTCCCCATGTTATTTCTCAAATTTTGGTCTCGCCACTACTTCTTTATAAGAATTAGGCTCATCTCGATCCATAAGTTAAATATCATCATGTATCGTAATGAGAAATCCATATCTTTCAGGTACATGGCGTTCTCCTATAGATCTTTACAGTTGTTATCTTTCCAAAATAATTGATTGTTCCGCAACAACTTGTATAACTTTTTCTTGTTCAATCTTTGGTTTAGTAATTTTGATATTGATTTTCTTAGAGATCAATATTTCTTCCTCTTCCTTTTCTAGAGATAAATTCCCTTTCAAGGAAGACTCATGTTTGAACAAAAAACACTTTGTTCTGGACAGGATTGAAGAAGAAATATCCTTTAGTTACTTTATGATATCATACAATGATACACTTTTGAGATTTAAGTTCAAGATTTGTAAAACATATGATATTTAATATAAGTTTTATAACCCTAAATCTACGTAAAAACATACTAGGACATTTCTCAATCCACATCTCATATAGTTTCTTTTGAACCATTTTAGATGAAAAACAATTTAGTGTGAAAATAGTTGTTTCAAGTATATGTCCCTAAAAAGTCGATAGATTATCTTGACTCATCATTTATCGAACAATATTAAAAAAAAGTTTGATTTCTGCTATCAAAAACTCGATTCCATTGTTGGAATACCATGTGGCATAAGCTGTGAAACAATCCTATATTGTTTCAAAAATTCATCAAAATTTAAGCTCAAATATTCTTCACCTCAATCTGATCAAAGTATCTTGATACTCTTGCCTAATTGGTTATGTAATTCACTCTTAAAATCCTTGAACTTTTGAAGGGCTTTAGATTTATGAAGCATAATGTAAACGTAACAATATTTACTGAAGCCATTAGTGAAATTAATGAAGTATTGAGAACCGCCTATGACTTTTGTATTTATTGGTCAACATACATCACTGTACATGAATCTCAATAAATCACTTGCACATTCACTTTTATAATTAAAAAGAGCTTTGGTTAGTTTTCTCAATAAGCGAGATTCAATACATCAATTTTTCAAAAACAAATGGGTTAATTACCCATTCATACATGAACTATACATGATTCTCAGTATCATACATAAAGTTTAAATTCTTGATTAACTACACAATGTTTTATGTAGTCAACGGATTCACCCACTTCCGTCATGGAAACTGACGTGAAACCCTATAACCATGACATGTGGCATATTAAAAACATGTTTTTTTAAATTTTTTCGCTAAATTATACTATTCATCACTCAACTATCTTCTCACTCTTATTTTAGTCACTAAAATTTAAATTTTTTATTTAATTATTAAACTATAGAATTGCTCTTATTTTAATAACTCAAATTTATTTTATTAATAAATCAAATTTATTTTATTAATATTTTAATAACTCAAAGTTTAAATTACTTTTATTAATGAGGTGTTTAAGCAACTTGAGAAGAGAAAGGTTCTGAGCAACGTTGAGAAGGCGGGGTTGTTATCCAAGGCGGAGGAGCTTGGACTTTCGTCAATAGAGAAACTCGGCATTTTTTCTAAAGCCGAGGAGTTGGGGCTGCTCAGCTTGTTGGAGAAGGCGGCCAGTGTATCCCCTTCCACGCTGGCTTCAGCGGCACTTCCAGCTTTAGTGACGGCTCTGTTAGCTGTAGTGATTGTATAGTTTAATAATGGGTTTAGCATTACACAAGCCAAGAAAACACAATATAAGTTTATAACAATGGTAATCGAGAAAGTGCAAATAAAGTTGAAAATTGAAATCAATGTGAAAAAAACAGAGGCGAAATTTGAAGCTCTAGGGTTTCGACTACTCACAACAAAGATGTTGCAATCAGTTTTAAGAGAAAAGGACTCCAGAGAAGTTTCACCCCTACTTTCAAAAGGTCTTATATTATCATTCTTTCTCGTAAACCTCACAGCTCCACCCTTCTTTAGAGGGTAAATTTCACTCAAAACTTCATTCAATGTGCCGCTCGTCTTTGCACCTTGTAGTATCAGTGTTTTATTACCTGTTTCCACCTGCCAAACACAATTTTAATTAAAAAAACAATTTTTTGACATAAATCTCCATTGAAAGGAAATCTAAAAAATTTCTTAAACACTTACGAGCTTTGGAGCTCGTTTTTCTAACGCCCTTCTGACTCTACCACTCCTAGGGGTCTTAATTTTCATCATGATTTCCTGTAAAGAACAAATAAAGATAAACAAATTTATTGGGATAGAAATAAAATTCTAAATCAACAGAGAGTGGAAGAGCTGGTGACTTACAGAAGAGAAAAGAAGGCCAGTGTATCCCCTTTCACGCTGGGTACGTCGGCACTTCCAGCTTTAGTGGTCGTGCTGTTGGTTGTAGTGATTTCATAGTTTAATAATAAATTAAAAAAAATTAAATTTTATTGACTAAAATAAGAGTGATAAGATAGTTGAATGATGTAATTTACCTAAAAAATAAAAAAAAAACATGTTTTTTTAAGTGCCACATGTCAATTTGTTATATGTCAGAGGGTTCCACGTCATCTTCCGTGACGAAAATGGGTATACCCATTGACGGCAGAAAACATTATGTAGTTAATCGAGAATTTTTAAACTTTATGCACGAAATTGAGAATCAAGTATAGTTCATGTATGAATAGGGTAATTAACCCAAAACAATTGAACCTAAAACCCCATCCTTATAGAGTTTTGATATGCGCTTCTTACTTATAAGACTTAATCGGTAAGTTTGATTAAATTCATTTACTTTTGATCTTTTAGTATTTATGTTATAAATGGATATATATTTGTAGTCTTTGTAAAAATTTGAGAACCACAAGTGGTATTTAATACCCAATAAGTAGATGTTGCTAAATTAATATCAATTACACAAATACCTAAAATGAACTTTTTGCTTTCTTTTGTCTTCTTGACCTCTTCAAGGTAGACATGACAATTCCTCTTCTAGTATCCAATTTTATCACAATGGAAACATTTTTCTTCTTTAAAAATTCATCATTTAGGTTTCAATGCATGATTTGCTTTGGACTTGAGTTTTCCATTACCTTTAGACTTTCCCATAGCCTTAGGTTTTTTCCTTTCTTTTATCGCTACATACCGTCAGAATGAGCTTAGGTGTCCAATCTTTATCATGTTAATCTTAAAAGTTCGCAACATATTGAGTATCTGTCTAGTCAACTAAAATTCAAGATAAATTGACTAAAACTTTTTTATAACAATTACAAGATAATATCGGTGGCCAATTCATCACTCAGAGGGAATCTCAATTTTTCAATACTTACAATATAGCCTATTATTTTAAGAACATGAGTCCCACTGTAGCTCCCTTTGTCATTTCACATCGAAACAAAGCTTTAGAGGTTATATACCTCTCTTGACGTGCTTACCCCTCATACAATTGTTTGATGAATTCTATCATCTCATAGACAACCATATCCTGATGTTGCTTCTGAAGCTTAAAAGTCAGGGTGGCTACCATTAGACATCTCCACGTCTACAATGTCATTCATGTACTTTTTATATGATGTATAACATCTTTGGAGGCATCTTTCGTTGGTTATTTAGGAAAGAGTTCTTCAATGACTCATGATTTTTGTTCTTGTTAAGGATAATCCTCAATTATGGAACCAATCAAGGAAGTTCAAACAATTAGTCCATCTCAAGGATTGGTCGTAATAATAACGAATTTGTGTTGTTTGCCATAATATATATACAACATTAATAGATGATTTATGAGTATGTTTACCAAGCTTATTAATAGGTCTTAAAAGAAGCTCCCAATATCTTCATTAAATTAATAACCCTCATATTTTAATTTCGAAAGTACTTTTTATGAAGTTTTCCTAGTGGGGAAGGATCCATATTTCACCTCCTCTTAAGTGAGCTTTGGATTTACTCTCAAGATTATAAATATATAGGTAAGCAACATTGCTAATTACAACTTGTCGTAACCGTTTTCTGGCGTAGACAATCGTTTAATTGTTTTAAAAACAGTTACGATTTTAATTTTAGAAAAATTCGTGATTTTGAATTAAATTGGGTAAAAATGAAAAGAGTTGCCATCGACCTTTGGGTTAGGTAGGTCGAATACCTAAAAGCGTCTTTTAAAAACAATTTTAAGAAAAATCATTTTTTAAGACAAAAGCTTATCTGCGTTTACCAAATATTCGATTAAAATGGGTTCGGGAGTCGGTTACGCGTGGGGAAGGATTAGCACCCCCACAACGCCCAAAACTGGTACTATGTCGTTTATACGTTGTCGTAATAGTAGAAATTACAAATCAAATATAAAATTAAACTATGATCTGTTTATTGAAATTTAATTAATTTGCTTCTAGTTAATTATTTAAAAGTGTTCTTGAAATATATTTAAATAAATAACATTAAACTAATAAAATAGTGTTTGCTAAAAATTTGAATAGTAAAATATATACGTATGAATATATAAGATTTTTTTTAAATAAATCAATCAATCCACATAATAACATTAATACAATTGAAATTACTTTACATGCTTATAGCAAAATCAAGTAAATTTATATTATATATATATATATATATATATATATATATATATATATATAATAGTAGAGTCAAAAATATATTAAATATATATGTATAACACCAAAAAAAAATATGTAAGCTCAAATATATTAAGTATATATACATATATTATTTAGTACATGCGTGAAATATGAAACAAAAATATATGTGAAATATATATTTACAACATATATATACGTAAAACTATAATTATAGGAATAAAGATATAACTTATATATTTTATAATATTTACATATACGTGGTGATTAAGAATGATAAAGGATATTAATAATAACTTGTAATTATAAAATACAAAATCAACATCAAACCAAGATAATAATTAAATATCAAACAATATATATACTAACAATGAAAATAACTCAAAAAATAATATTATAGATTTAAATAAAATACACACCATAATTATAAAATGATCAAAATCAAATAATATGGAGAAAAACTAAAATGAATTAATAAAAAACGTATAATACTAAAACATGAATAAATTAAAGTAAGATAGTTAGATCTCAAATATAAGCATAATTATTCATATAAACAAGTAAGGACGAAATTAAAATTATCAATAACTAATAAACTTGAAATGAAAATAATGAAAACTTCATTAATGACCAAATTAAAATAATACAAATGATTGCTTGGTATTGCGTGCGTGAGAACCAGAACCCCCTCTCTTCTTTCTTTTTTTTCTTTTCCCCCTTCACGTATATCTCTGCCCCTTCCTCCAGCTTGCTTTCATTCCCTTTGATTTATAATTTCTTCATGGTGGTGGTAAAGGGTAGTGGAATAATGGTGGAGTAGGTTTTAGGTTTAGTGGGGGCTTTTGTTGAAGTGGAATGGTAGGTATTGATAGTGGCAGTGGGTGGATGTTGAATGAAAATGGTGCTTACAGCTTCCCCTCTTTTCTCATTGATGTGACACAGGAATGAAGCAAAGATAATAAAGCACCATTTTTCATCTTGGTTTCTTCTTGTCACATTGCGAACTCTTCACTGGAAATGTTAATTCTTCTCTTCCTGCGAAATTCGTCGAGTCCTTGTTGCAAATAATGTTATATTTGCTTCGTTCTCTTGGCCGAGTCTTCATCTTCAGTTCCTCAGGTTATGGGTTCTTCTCATTATTATCTTTCTACTAGAAATATTGATCCCTCTAGTGATACGTTTCTGATTCGAAGTATTGTGAATCGAACAAAGGAAATACCAATCCCTCAATCGAGGCGTCACTGATTCGAAATGCCATGAATCGAGTGATAGGTCGAACAAGCTCTTATCATTATGAACTTCTTCTCCCTCTATAGGATGAGTTCTTCTCATTATGAACTCTTAATTGGAAATGTTCATCCCTCAAGCGAGGCATCTTCTGTTTCAAGGGAAACTATCTCAAGCGAGGCAAAATCTTCTGTTTCGAGGGAAACTATCTCAAGAGAGACAAAATCTTCTGTTTCGAGGGAAACTATCTCAAGCGAGACAAAATCTTCTGTTTCGAGGGAAACTATCTCAAGAGAGACAAAATCTTCTGTTTCAAGGGAAATTATCTCAAGCGAGACAAAATCTTATGTTTCAAGGAAAACTATCTCAAGCGAGACAAAATCTTCTGTTTCAAGGGAAACTATCTCAAGCGAGACAAAATCTTCTGTTTCAAGGGAAACTATCTCAAGCGAGATAAAAAATTTTGTTTCAAGGGAAACTATCTCAAGCGAGATAAAATCTTATGTTTTAAGGGAAACTATCTCAAGCGAGATAAAATCTTCTGTTTCAAGGGAAACTATCTCAAGCGAGATAAAATCTTCTGTTTCGAGGGAAACTATCTCAAGCGAGATAAAATCTTTGTTTCGAGGGAAACTATCTCAAGCGAGATAAAATCTTCTGTTTCAATAGAAACTATCTCAAGCGAGATAAAATCTTCTGTTTCGAGGGAAACTATCTTAAGCGAGATAAAATCTTCTGTGTTTCAAGGGAAACTATCTCAAGCGAGATAAAATCTTCTGTTTCAATAGAAACTATCTCAAGCAAGATAAAATCTTTTGTTTCAAGGGAAACTATCTCATGCGAGATAAAATCTTCTGTTTCAATGGAAACTATCTCAAGCGAGATAAAATCTTCTGTTTCAAGGGAAACTATCTCAAGCGAGATAAAATCTTCTGTTTCAATAGAAACTATCTCAAGCGAGATAAAATCTTTTGTTTCAAGGAAAAACAATATTGAGTGAAATAAATCTTCTTATTTCGTGTAAAAAATGTCTCTAGCGAGACAAATCTTGCTTTAAGAAAAACATAATATAGTGAAATGAAATATCTTGTTTTGAATAAAACCTGTCCCAAGCGAGACAAATCTTGTTTTAAGAAAAACAATCTCCAGTCAAATGAAATGTCTTCTTTCAAGTAAAACAGTCTCAAGTGAGACAAAGTTTGTTTTAAGAAAAACAATCTTCAGTCAAATGAAATATCTTCTTTCAAGTAAAGTAGTCTCAAGTGAGACAAAGTCTGTTTTAAGAAATACAATCTTCAGTGAGATAAATCCTCCGTATTAAATGAGATTGTCTCAAGCGAGACAAAATTTGTCTGGAAATGTTGAATCTGAAGATGATTTCTCCCTCTTGCTGAGGATGTCTTTTGGTCTTTTACTCTTCCTGAAAGATCTGCAAAAATGTAGTTGAATGCAACTATCATGAATGAATGTTTGATGCAAAGATGCAAATTCATGTAGCTGTAATGCATGTTTTTCTCGATTAATAGCAGTGGAAAGGTGCTCATG